ACAATCTCAGAAAATGAGAATATTGTGAAAAGGTGCAATATTCTCGGCTCAAAGTGTCCCACTCTAATCAGCTAATTAAGCCATAACACCTGCAAGGGTTCCTGAGCCTTTAAATGGTCTCTCAGTCTGGTTCAGTAGGAATCACAATCATGGGAAAGACTGCTGACCTGACAGTTGTGCAGAAAACCATCATTGACACCCTCCATAAGGAGGGAAAGCCTCAAAAGGGAATTGCAAAAGAAGTTGGATGTTCCTAAAGTGCTGTATCAAAGCACATTAATAGAAAGTTATGTGGAAGGGAAAAGTGTGGAAGAAAAAGGTGCACAAGCAGCAGGGATGACCGCAGCCTGGAGAGGATTGTCAGGAAAAGGCCATTCAAAAGTGTGGGGACTTTCACAAGGAGTGGACTGAGGCTGGAGTCAGTGCATCAAGAGCCACCACACACAGACGGATCCTGGACATGGGCTTCAAATGTCGTATTCCTCTTGTCAAGCTATTCCTGAACAACAAACAACGTCAGAAGCATGTTACCTGGGCTAAAGAAAAACAGACCTGGTCTGCTCAGTGGTCCAAAGTCCTCTTTTCTGATAAGAGCAACTTTTTCATCTTGTTTGAAAACCAAGGACCCCGAGTATGGAGGAAGAATGGAGAGGCCCAAGGACCCCGAGTATGGAGGAAGAATGGAGAGGCACACACTGCAAGATGCTTGAAGTCCAGTGTGAAGTTTCCACAGTCTGTGTTGATTTTGGGAGCCATGTCATCTGCTGGTGTTGGTCCACTGTGCTTCATTAAGTCCACGGTCAATGCAGCCGTCTACCAGGAGATTTTGGAGCACTTCATGCTTCCTTCCACCGACTAGCTTTATGGGGATACTGACTTCATTTTCCAGCAGGACTTGGCCCCTGCCCACACCGCCAAATGCACGAAAACCTGGTTCAATGACCGTGGGATTACTGTGCTTGATTGGCCAGCAAACTCTCCTGACCTGAACCCCATAGAGAATCTATGGGGCATTGCCAAAAGAAAGATGAGAGACATGAGACCGAACAATGCAGAAGAGCTGAAGGTCGCTATTGAAGCATCCTGGTCTTCTATAACACCTCAGCAGTGCCACAGGCTCATAGCTTCCATGCCGCGCCGCATTGAGGCAGTAATTGCTGCAAAAGGGGCCCAAACCAAGTACTGAGTACATATGCATGCTTCTACTTTTCAGAGGTCCGATATTGTTCTATGTACAATCCTTGTTTTATTGATTGCATGTAATATTCTCATTTTCTGAGATTGTGGATTTGGGTTTTCATGAGCTGTAAGCCATAATCATCACAATGATGACAAATCACGGCTTGAACTATCTTGCTTTGCATGTAATGAGTCTATCTCATATATTAGTTTCACCTTTTAAGTTACTGCACTGAAATAAATGAACTTTTGCACAATATTCTAATTTTTCGAGTTTCATCTGTAGTTACAAAGTTAGTCTGGCTGAAAAAAGACAAAAGTCCATCCAGTTCAACCATAGAAAAAAGAAAAAAAAAAGTTATAATCCTACACCCACAGTTGATCCAGAGGAAGGCAAAAAAATCCAGCAAAGCATGATCCAATTTGCTCCTGCAGGGAAAAAATTCCTTCCTGATCCGCCAAGAGGCAATCGGATATTCCCTGGATCAACTTTACCTATAAATGTTATATCCAGTTATATTCTGTGTATCTAGGAAAGAATCCAGGACTTTTTTAAAGCAATCCACTGAGCTGGCCAGAACCAACTCTTGAGGGAGTCTATTCCACATTCTCACAGCTCTCACTGCTTGGAGAATACATTTCTCTTCCTCCAGATGTAGAGTGCCCCCTTGTCCTCCCTTATGTATTATACATGGAGATCATATCCCCCCCTTATGTATTATACATGGAGATCATATCCCCCCTTATGTATTATACATGGAGATCATATCTCCCCCCTATGTATTATACATGGAGATCATATCTCCCCCCTTATGTATTATACATGGAGATCATATCCCCCTTATGTATTATACATGGAGATCATATCCCCCCTTATGTATTATACATGGAGATCATATCCCCCCTTATGTATTATACATGGAGATCATATCCCCCTTATGTATTATACATGGAGATCATATCCCCCCTTATGTATTATACATGGAGATCATATCCCCCTTATGTATTATACATGGAGATCATATCCCCCCTTATGTATTATACATGGAGATCATATCCCCCTTATGTATTATACATGGAGATCATATCCTCCTTATGTATTATACATGGAGATCATATCCCCCCTTATGTATTATACATGGAGATCATATCCCCCCTTATGTATTATACATGGTGATCATATCCCCCTTATGTATTATACATGGTGATCATATCCCCCCTTATGTGTTATACATGAAGATCATATCCCCCTTATGTATTATACATGGAGATCATATCCTCCCTTATGTATTATACATGGAGATCATATCCCCCCTTATGTATTATACATGGAGATCATATCCCCCTTATGTATTATACATGGAGATCATATCCCCCCTTATGTATTATACATGGAGATCATACCCCCCCTTATGTAATATTATACATGGAGATCATATCCCCCCTTATGTAATATACATGGAGATCATATCCCCCCTTATGTATTATACATGGAGATCATATCCCCCCTTATGTATTATACATGGAGATCATATCCCCCCTTATGTATTATACATGGAGATCATATCCCCCCTTATGTATTATACATGGAGATCATATCCCACTGATGTATTATACATAGAGATCATATCCCCCTTATGTATTATACATGGAGATCATATCCCCCCTTATGTATTATACATGGTGATCATATCCCCCCTTATGTATTATACATGGAGATCATATCCCCCCTTATGTATTATACATGGAGATCATATCCCCCCCTTATGTATTATACATGGTGATCATATCCCCCCTTATATATTATACATGGAGATCATATCCCCCTTATGTATTATACATGGAGATCATATCCCCCCTTATGTATTATACATGGTGATCATATCCCCCCTTATGTATTATACATGGTGATCATATCCCCCTTATGTATTATACATGGTGATCATATCCCCTTATGTATTATACATGGAGATCATATCCCCCCTTATGTATTATACATAGAGATCATATCCCCCTTATGTATTATACATGGAGATCATATCCCCCCTTAATTTCCTCTTCTCAAGAGAGAATACATTCAGTTCCTCTAATCTTTCCTCATAGCTGATCTCCTCCATGCCTCTTATCAGTTTAGTTGCCCTTCTCTGTACTTTCTCCAGTTCCCCAATGTACTTTTTGTGAAGGAGAGGATTTTGCTGCTTTAGAAACCGCAGCTTGGCATTGCATGCCATTATTAAGCTGTGATCTACCAGAACCCCCAGATCCTTCTCCACCATTGATTCCCCCAGTTGTACCCCCCTAGTATGTATGATGCATGCATATTCTTAGCCCCCAAGCCTTACATTTATCAACATTAAACCTCATTTGCCACATAGTTGCCCAATTACACAGTACATTGAGGTCGGCTTGTAAGTTGGAGAGACATCCTGTAAGGACGTTATTCCACTGCACGGCTTGGTGTCATCTGCAAAGACTGAAATGGGATTTATAATCCCAGACCCTATATCGTTTATAAATATATTAAAAAGTAAGGGCCCCAACACTGAACCCTGGGGTACACCACTGACAACCCTAGACCATTCCGAGTATGAATCATTAACCACTACTCTCTGAATACCATATTTTAGCCAGTTTTCTATCCATTTACATACAGATTTTTCCAAACCTGTAGACCTTACGTTACACTTTAGCCGTGTGTGGGGAACTGTGCCAAACGCTTTTGCAAAATCCAAGTATACCACGTCCACCACCACCAATCTGTCCAAGTATACCACATTCACTGCCACCCCTCTGTCCAAGTATACTACGTCCACTGCACCCCCCTCTGTTCAAGTATACCACGTCCACCGCCACCAATCAGTCCAAGTATACCACATTCACCACCACCCCTCTGTCCAAGTATACCACGTCCACCGCCACCCCTCTCTGTCCAAGTATACCATGTCAACAGCCACCCCTCTGTCCAAGGTTTTGCTCACCTCCTCATAAAAAGAAATCAGATTTGTTTCACAACTTCTATCTTTGATGAATCCATGCTGTCTGTTGCTTAAACTATTTTTTTTCCAGCAAGAACTCATCTATGTGGTCTTTTATTAAACTCTCCAGTATCTTCCCAACTATAGAAGTTAAACTAACAGGTCTATAATTACTTGGTAAAGATTTTGACCCCTTTTTAAATATAGGCACCACATTGGCCTTACGCCAATCCAGTGGTACTATGCCAGTCATTAAAGAGTCCCTAAAAATGAGAAACAAAGGCTTTGTAAAGAATGTAGCCACGTTATTGTATAGTGAAGACAAACATCTGCATCAATAGAATGGGAATGGCTGGTAAAGGTGGGCCAGTATTAACTAGCATAAAGTAAATACATATTCCAATTGTTATCAGATTTGGGCTTGTTGGTTGGTATTCAGATCTACAAATAGGTACCTGTCTAAGGCCACAAAGTGACTGTGTTTGGTATTTTCTTCAGGTAATGTTATGCCTCTATAACCTCCGGCAGCTGAGTGTTGATGAAAAAGTATCAACTGCTTTTTCACATGAACGCCATGTCTTTAACTACCATGTCTTTAACCATATGCATTTATCTATTGCTTATGTTAATGCCAGGATATCCATTATTTCTTTGGTTCTTATACTCCCCTCTTCTACGTAACCTTTCTACCCTTCATATCCATTCATAAATAGGTCAAGGAAATTTGCATTGTCATTCGAATAGTGCCTATATGCGATCAATACTCTACTCCATTTTACATTGTGCTACCAGTTGTACATTTTGTTTGAACCCAATAAAACCTTAAATAAGGAAAAAAGTACTGACCACTCCTAGAGGCCTTCGAATAAACGTAAACATGTTGTTGATGATGGAGAGAAATTTCAAGAACGTCTCATCCTTATAGACCCAGCGCCGGCCAAACACCACCAAGTTTATCACATTGTTTACTGCACGTCCAAGAGCTGTGTGAGGATTGAAAACTTTACCTGGAGAAGTAAGAAATATACATTAATACAATATGGGACCTTATAGCTTGTCTGCCTTATGGCTAAGGTCAAGTGTAATACCTGTTCTTATCAGTGTCCAGTAGGAGTGCTCTGCTGTCGTTCCAGCCTTTTGGCAGGAATAGCTGGCTGTATAGAATCTCTGCTGGTATGATGGGGGTCCTGATTGACCTCCTCTATAAGAATGGAACCAAATTAAGTAGCCGCAGGTAAATTCAGGGGGTCAGTAATACTTTCCTAGTGTGGAGAGACCTGAGGGTCCCAATGCCTTCTGATATGTGAGGTGCTACCTGGTCTAGCCAAGGGCTGGAAAGGCAGAGAGCTTGCAGTGTTAAGCATCTTCTGAGAGTGGCAACCCAGGGGTGCTGAAGTAACCCTATGGATTTTGGACCCCACTGTGTGAAGCACACTGGGCACTACAACTCTCAGTGACCTTCTGTGGCCATCTTGGTTTGGGCAATGCTAATAAGTAGCAGTGCCCTGTGTGGTTTGGCAAGCATTTGTGAGTGGGTCGTGTAGGGAAAGCAACCACACTTGTCATGGTCAGAGAACTAGCCATAGTAAAAGTAGGGTAAGGATAGTGACACCGCTGTAAGCCTTATTCAGTTTTCAGAACTACCTTTGAGGGCCTGCCCAACTTTCCAAAGTTCTTCTTGTGCTACCATCCTGCGAGTCAGCCACCTCTCCTGCAGATGCTTCCCTTGTACTGTAGGCCTTGCCTGTGTTTTACCTTTTAGTGCTGAAGATATTCTGCTGCATACCTGTGTGTCACGGCTGCTACCGCTAGGTGCTAGCTGGTCCAATTATTTTGCCTTCTTACTCCCGTGCCAAAGAGTGTTAAAGTAGTTCCTGGATGTACCTGTGTGAAGTGGCAATTATACACAATCGTAAGGTGTCACTGAGACTTTTACTCAAAGTGTTCTACCTCAGTGTTAGGATCCGCCAGGTGGTGCCTCAGGCTGCCAACTGACAGACCTACCCAGAGCGTGGAGTCTAAGCCCGGTCTGTGCTTTCACCAGGGCCCCTGATGGTGGGGATGGACTTGTAACAGACCCGGGCCAGGTCACGACCTCCGAGCAGGCCCACCAGTGGCAGAGGAAGCCTCCGGGGACGTATGCAGGTACCAGGAGAGCCAGATGTGAAGAGGATGGCGGGACCTAGCAGGATGGTCACGGGCCGTGGTCCCGTGGGGTAAGCGGGCTACCAAATCGGCAGGCGAAGAGTAGTCAGGTCACACGCAGGGTCAGCAGGGTAAGTCAGTCCGCAGAATGGTCAGACAAGCCGGGGGTCAGAATAGGAGAAGGCAGAGTAGTCAGGGCAATCCGGGTCAAATCACAGGAGAAGGCAGCGTAGTCAGGGCAATCCAGGTCAAATCACAGGAGAAGGCAGCGTAGTCAGGGCAATCAGGGTCACTTAAACGGTACAGGAACCCAGGATCACAGATAGACCTTGCGGCAATCTGTGACAGTGCAGGGCATCTTTAAATAGTGCGCCCTGCACTGTCATTGGCCGGCTAGGACGCGCCCCCGGCTGTCATTGGACGCCTGAGGCGCGCCCGCGGTCCTACTGCGCATGCGCGGCGTCCTGTCAGCTGCGGCTCGCCGGGACCTAGTGCCTGTGTCCCGGCGTGATCTGCCGCCAGTGCGCATGCGCTGGGAGAGGGGCCGCGGTCGCTGAACTTGGAGCCGCGATCCCTGACACTCAGTCACTAACAGCAATAATACTAGTTCTAGTTATTGTAGCCTTCCATCATCCTTATCCTTTAAGCCTTCAACTTATTAAATACAACCAATGTTCAACCTTGCCTGGACTTTGTTGAGCTGTTTCCTTAACATGGGTACCACCACTGTCCTCACCCACTAGAAGGAACCTATGGCTACCATTGCTCTCAGTTTATCTTGTGAGACAAGGAAAAGAGGGGAGGCAGTGCTGCAGCCAGAAAAGTGCTGGACCGGTCACAGGTCACAGGTAAAAGTTTAGGGATGGGGAGGAGCAAGAAGTGATGGGTTGTTTTTTAACCCCAATTCAGGGAATGCATTTAGGAAAAATGGTTTGGGTTTAGAACCACTTTAATTTCTGTAATGGAGAGACAACATTGTCACCCAGATAGAAAATATCTAATTGGGACATAAAAATTAACCTAATTTTACCTTTTTTCCACAGAAAAAAAAACATACAGATATTGAAAAAAGTAAAAATACACAAACAGATGCAAAAATCTACAAATGCAAAATAAAAAAAAATCAACAACACAGAAACCCCCATTAAATTAAATAAAAAGCTAATTTTGTTTAGGCAGCTCAATACATGAAATTGAGAGTTTCTGCTTTGGCAAAATCTCCTACCTAGAAATTGATTATAGATAGACTTTGTATTCAACATTTGTACAAAGATTTTATATATATACTGTATCCCCTGTTGAGTTTGAATGTTTGCCCACTCACAAAGAAATGATCAGTCTGAAAATCGAATGGTAGGTGTATTTGTTTGGTAGCCCAGTCCAGCCTTGTGTAGGTCTACAATTTTGTCCCTGACATCCTTGGACAGCTCTTTGGTCTTTGCCATGGTGGAGAATTTGGAATCTGATTATTTGATTGCTCCTTTGGACAGGGGTCTTTTATACAGGTAACAACATGAGATTAGCAGCACTCTCTTTAAGAGACTGCTTTTAATCTCAGCTTGTTACCTGTATGAAAGACACCTTGTAGCCAGAATTCCTGCTGAATGATAGAGGATCAAATACTTATTTCCCTCATGAACATGCAAATCAGTCATCATTTGTTAGACATGCATTTCTTTTGAATTTGTTGTTGCTATTCTGTCTCAGTGTTACAATACACCGAACATTTGATTGTTAGACTGATCATTTCTTTGTGAGTGGGCAAACATTCAAAATCAGCAGGGGAGCAAATACTTATTTCCTTCCCTGTATATATGTACTGTATATACACAGATCAGCCATAACTTTATGAGCACTGACAGGTTAATTGAATAACATTGATTATCTTGTTACAATGGCATCTGAAAGTGGGTGGATATATTATGAAGCAAGTAAACATGTGTTCCCTGAAGCTGATGGATTGAAAGCATAAAAAAACGGGCATCAAGTTCAAGTCGATCAAACCACCTCGAATACACTCTCCAGACTAAGGAACGAATTACTCTCCTTATTAATGTACCAATTTGATAGAAGTATGCAAAGATTAAAACTCAACTATTACTCTAATGGAAACAAAGCTGGGAAATAACTAGCGAATAAGATGAAATCTCTGTATACTAGAACTAAAATACCGTATCTTATCAACCCAAAAAATAAAACAAAAATCACTAATCCTCAAGAAATAGCAAATTCATTTTGCTAGTTACTACGATTCGCTTTATAACCTAAATCAAGACTGATCCACTCTCCAGCCTTCTATGGAAAACATACAAGCATTTATATCTCAAATTCGCTTACCCACTCTTTCGAAATCACAACTAAGTATCTGAAACTCCCCTTTCACAATAAATGAAATAAACAGAACAATAGAAAAACTACCCAATGGCAAAAAACTGGGACCAGATGGATTTTCCACTTTACTATAAAATTTTCAAAAATACCCTGAGTCCTCATATAAACCAACTATACAGTGACACAGTCACAAACAGAAAACATGCAGCGCTAGGGTATATAGGTCTATCTCATGATAAAATATGACCATCTAAATAGGTATAAACGCAGATAGCATAATGGTCTTAAGCAACCAATACTATAACATTATCATCGTTAAGAAGGTGTAAATAGTGATATAGATGTCAAAGTCAATATATCATAGGAGTGACGTAAATAAATCTGTGACATCTGTGGTAGGAAGTGTGGCTGTAGAATGCACTAACCAGATAGCGCAGACAATAGCGCCTTGGAGTAAAATGACCTACTCCTGGTCAATGGATCAGGGAACCTGCCGGAGTGGTGGTCGTCTCTGCTGTGGTCACCAGAATCATCTGCGTCCTCTCCAATTATGGAATTCCCAGGTGTCCAGTGGGATAAACGTTCATCCGGTATATGGTGGAATCCTTATGTCAGCGACCTCCAGGGGTGCGGTGTGCGCTCAAGGAACAGGAATCACCTTCAGGGCTCAGAAATAAACCCAAAAGAGAGGCTTCCGATAGTGTGATATCTTTTATTGAGGAGTAAATAAACAAATAAAGCACTTACATGGTGCAATACACAATTCCAAAGATGGCCGCCCGAGAGGGCCCCTTTGATAATGTGTAGTTGCCACGACACGCGTTAGGGAGATGCTATTTGATCTACAACTACTACCCACATGGTCCACACCTTGACATGGGCGGCCATCTTTGGAATTGTGTATTGCACCATGTAAGTGCTTTATTTGTTTATTTACTCCTCAATAAAAGATATCACACTATCGGAAGCCTCTCTTTTGGGTTTATTTCTGAGCCCTGAAGGTGATTCCTGTTCCTTGAGCGCACACCGCACCCCTGGAGGTCGCTGACATAAGGATTCCACCATATACCGGATGAGCGTTTATCCCACTGGACACCTGGGAATTCCATAATTGGAGAGGACGCAGATGATTCTGGTGACCACAGCAGAGACGACCACCACTCCGGCAGGTTCCCTGATCCATTGACCAGGAGTAGGTCATTTTACTCCAAGGCGCTATTGTCTGCGCTATCTGATTAGTGCATTCTACAGCCACACTTCCTACCACAGATGTCACAGATTTATTTACGTCACTCCTATGATATATTGACTTTGACATCTATATCACTATTTACACCTTCTTAACGATGATAATGTTATAGTATTGGTTGCTTAAGACCATTATGCTATCTGCGTTTATACCTGTTTAGATGGTCATATTTTATCATGAGATAGACCTATATACCCTAGCGCTGCATGTTTTCTGTTTGTGACTGTTTACCACGAGGCGTTTTGGAGGCTTGCCTTTCATGCCAGCTGCTTTTATACTTTG